TAAGAGCTCTTGGTATCGGGTGCTTCACTGCAAGGTTGACTTCTAAGTGCCTTTAATGACTTAATTGAAGTGAATGCCTTTAATGATTAAAAACACACTTAAACGGACTCCCTCTCGTTTGAGGATGATAACCACCAGGGACTCTCTCTCTCTGTTTCAGAGGGCCCCTCCCCCAGGAAACTCCGCAATGACTCACCAGGTATCATGCCTTCTAGCTTCACAGCTCATGTATGTTGTACTCGGGTCCACTTCTTTCCTGCTACCCTGCCCTCCCTCTCCCCCCTTTTTTGGTCCCCCCAAATTGCCATGAGATTGCCGCAAAACCTGAAGGCATGGGTATCTTAGGTCAAAACTCTTTCATCACAGCCAAGATCAACTGAAGAAGATTTCATCTCCTGACCCATCTTCCTTCCTTACTTCTGCCTTGGCATCTGACATGGCACCCAGTGTGTCCTTGTCACCGTGTGTTGACAAGTGTTTGGAGGCTGCGTGTGTATCACCTGGATTGTTTTTACCTGCCCAAGAGGGCCTCTCTCACACTGTTAGGATGCTTGACTGTGTGTCTGACAGCTCCACAGTCTGGGTCCATTTCCGGAGAATGGCTTCAAGCTGGCTGGTCTGGCTCACCCATCAGAATTCACAGAGCACAGGTTCATGGTAGCCACAGCTCAGCAACTTGTCACACCCCCCCGCCCCCCGCAGCTGGGCTTTTCACAAACATGTCTGTGAAAGAAATGAGCTCTCGCTGCACGTTGTACAACTGCTGGGGCTGCGTGAGGCTGAAGTAAGGCCTACCTGCTACCTGCATTTCCAGCACGCGGGGGTGTACACTGGTCACCTTGGAGCCACACGTGGTCCTGGCACAGCTTTTTCCAGAGGTCTTGTGGGCACATTTTCAGAGTGGGGAGTGGACACCCAACACTCGAGAAAGAACACAGGGCCCTTGACAAGAAACAGTTTAGAAGCCTTGACTTGTCTGGGAGTCTAAGAGCTTCATCACCCGTGAAGTTAGGCCCTGTGGCCTGGTGTCCCTTTCATCTTTGAGAGGCCAAGTGAGCCCCAGCCGGTGTCCCTTCTGCTCTGTAGGAGAATCTCAGCTTTGCTGCCACTACCCAAATACTTAAGCTGACTGAGGTATTGGCAGGAGCTTTAGGAGAACTTTCAGCCTCTATGACACAGCTTCTGAGCAGCACTCCTGCCAGCTCAGACTGGAATGATGGACCCCCTGGGTGATGGGGGAACTGAGGTCTTGCAAAGCAAATGCTCATACTCTTGTGCGGATTCTTGGCACACTACTGGTGCCTTGCACAAGTTCTTTGAGCCCATGAATAGAAGCCAGATTCTCCAGGATCAGACCCTTGCAGGCAATCTTTAGAGGGGTCCCTTATTTCCTGTGAGTGAGGCAGACAGTGCCAACCTTTGCCCTGGATTTGAAACCAGTTCCTTCAAGCAGGACACCTGCACTGGCAGATAGGCTCTCGGGACTAGGGGCCGAGCAGGGGGCTTCTGGTGACCCAGGGCTTGATTGACCTCTTTGGTCAAGGGAACACATTATCACTTGAACTTTAACGTCCAAATACAGACTGTCCCAAGAGATAAAGAGTGCCTGGAGCCTGGAATGGTAGGTGAGACAGTTTCCCAGCCCGAGGCTGTCCCAGGAATTTTGAACCAGGAGGGTAGAAGCAGGAGGAGAGACATGCAAGCATCAGCTGCCACTTTTTCTATCCTGTACTCTGAGACCCTTCTCCTGGACCCAGGTTCTTAGGACAGTGCTAAAGAATACTTTTTAAGGTCTCTTCAAGAGAGAGACAGAGTGATGGACAGTGAGTTCTAAGGGCGCTGAGCACCTCCAAGCTTCCCTTGGATGTAAGGCCGGCCAGAGACTTTAGCTGGGAGTGGCTACAACTTGGGAGAATTCCTTCCTGATAGCTGCCCCTTAGAAAGTACCATACTCTGAACCTGGGCAGGTTCTCCCAAACCATCCATGTTTCTCCCATCCTCGGACCCCAAAAGGCTCAAGCTGAGACTCCCCTCCTCAGTGAGCGATCAGGACACTCTAGGCCTTGCTTATGCCTCTAATCTTACTTCTCTTGAGCTGCCCCTTTTGACTAAACAATCAATCACTGAAATGGGGCTCTCCCTTGTGACTTGTCTGTCCAGTAACTTCAGGTGGCGAAGCAGGTCATTTTCATCACAGAAAGTCTGTACTCCGCTTAGGCTTCCTAAAATGAGCTAAGATCTGTCCTCCAATTCAGGTCAAACGGGACCAGATGGCTGGAGCCCAACACAATTATTGGTGTGGTTGCAGAAGAGATGGCAAATGTTTCTTCCAAGCAGAGGAGGTTGAATGCAGGTGGATTCAACTTCTCCTTCTGCCGGCCTGCTTTTCTAAGCAAAGTCTCACTTCAGGTGCCCCGGGCAGGCCCTGGCAGTAACTCAGGGCATCCAGTACTCCAGAGATGGGAGTCCTTAGGCAAAGAAACGGGTGTCCTACCAGCCAGAGCTAAAATACCCCTTGGATTAACAGGTCTTATCTAACAAATATTCACTGTAGCACCTCTTTATAGGCCATGCATGGTGCCTGTATGGTGAGTAAAAATCAGGTAAGACCTCCGCACTGTGAGAACTCACACCAAGAATTCTGCTCCACACAAGCAGGGGCCCCTGACTTGCTTTAACCAAGAACATCCTTCTGGCATCCACACAATGACCTCTTTCCTTCAACACTGCCTATGTTCATCCTCTTTCCTTCAATACCGCCTATGTTCATTTCTACTTCCTTCCAATTGAAAACCTAAGACCTCTTCCCCTCTTTCTTTTTACCTTTTGAAGGCAAGGAAGTACAGCATGAGAACATGTTCCCCTTTATACTGGCCCCACAGAGTATGTATAAACCCACGGGAACGTGTCAGCCCCCACTTGACCTCTTTTTTTAAAAAGTTCTTTTCTAAATAAAGACCCCATCAGACCAGAATCCTACGGGTCATTAGATGACCAAGCCAGATTTTTTTTTTTTAATGCAGATAGTCTTACATTGAAAAATCTACTCCCCCCCCCCCCCCGCCCCATGCAAGCTGATGAAATGCTACTGTACCTTGAGACCGGTCAGGGCTTGACTTCAACCTGAATATTTGTATCTCATTTGAGTTTGTCTGCGTGTGTTTTTTGCCCCTTGAAAAATCTCTCCCCATCTCAAGGGAGATCTCTGTACTCAACAGACACATATTCTCTTCAATCCCACAGGCGAGGAAACGAGACCGCTTTTGTTCCCTCTAGAAGGTCTGGAGGACGTCGAGTTATTGAAAATGCAGATGGCTCTGATGAGGAAGTGGATGCTCGCGACGCCGACTTCAACGGAACCAAAGCCAGTGAATGAACAACTTGCTCCAAACAGAACAAAACAAAACCCAGTGGACTCTGCTTAGCACTGTCTAAACCCGTCTTCAAATTCCAAACATCACAGACACCTCTCACGATGAATATAAACACCACCGCCCTGAGTCCGGGGTATCAGTGGAACTTTTGAGTGACGTACCCAATGAGAAGAACCCAACAGGCAACACAGACACACCCGCTCCCCCTAGCGGTGAATCGTGCAGAGATTTTGAGTTTTTAGGGAAAACATATAACCACAGTAACTGATCCCTGGCAACTTAGTGTACGTGACATGGGGAAAAAAATCACCAAAGTGGGTGCCACCGCCGCCTCCCACTCCCAAGTCATTCTCTAACCTGTGTACCCTTCCAATGTGTCGAGTGGGCCCGTTTGAGTTTTTTCCCCTCCTGGTTAACACACCTCAGACGCACACAGTTCACGGAGACCAAGTGCCTTCGGTAGTCACAGGAATTAAAAAGGAGACACTGCTCCAGCGGGTTAAGAGCAGGAATGTTACACTGTTTTATATGCACCCCGATTGTACTTAAGGACACCCTCACTAATAAAAGGTTATAAATCACTGGAATGCAGTCAGCTTTTCTGTTGTTTTCTAGAGTCAAAGAATGGGGGGTGGGGGGGGATTCTCGTTGAGTTGTTACGACGACCCTGTGAAATCAGCTTATTCTTCATTCACAAACGGGGAAACTGAAGGCTGGGGAGGTGAAATAAGTTGTCTGAGATCCCAAAGCTGGCCATAAAAAAAAAAAAAGAAAGAAAGAAAGAAAGAAAGAAAGAAAGAAAGAAAGAAAGAAAGAAAGAAAGAAAGAAAGAAAGAAAGAAAGAAAGAAAGAAAGAAAGAAGGAAGAAGGAAGCATGTAGAGATGTCACAGGAGTCTGTGTAAAGAGACTTCTCCAAACAGAGGTGGGCAGCTCTAGGCCCCAGGAAAGAGGAATGTGACCGGGAAGCATGTCCTTATCAATTCAAACCCATACAGACAGACATACTGTGAAGAATATAAAACATGCTTGAATTTTAAAGTAAAAAACAAACAAACAAACAAACAAACAAAAAAAAAAAAACACAAGACTTCATCCAGCACAGGTCAGGAAACTTTTTCTGTAAAGGCCAGAGAGTCAATGTTTTAGGCTACATACGGTCTCTCTCACATGTTCTCCTTCCTTCCTTTCCTTCCTTTTAAGTAACCCTTTAAAAATATAAAAACCATTCTTGCTGCAGAGGCCATACAACAACCACACTGTGGGTTTTTTCCTTCCTCAGCTTGAGTGTTCTAGACAGAGATCCTTTGCAAAAGTCCTAATTGACACAAAACAGTTCGGCGTACGGACTCCACAGGCCCAATAGATTTGAGAAGAAACAATGCAAACTGAAAAACTCAAGCCAATGACCAAATATGAATACACCCTGAGCAATAACCCAAATATATCCCAAACACACTAAGAAGCCGACTTGAAGGGGCATTTTTTAAAAGGACGGTTTTAGGTTTGTTTTTTTTTTTTTTCCATAGTTACTTGGTTAAAAAACAAGTTTTTCACCACCATACGAGCAAACATAAAAGCACAAATGAAGTGACATTTACTGACCACCACCACAAGCTAGTTGAAAATTAGTTTCTCTTGATTTTATTGTTCTTTTAAAAAAATAAAAGTATGTCTTTTACCGATACAGGTTAGAATGTTCCCAGGGTAAGGAACCAGGCACCAGAGATCAATTCTCTGTTGAATTTCAGTAGCACTTGTGAAGTTCTATTTTTAACTCAAGGATATTTTTGCTATTCTTTTGGAAAAATAACTTAGTAAAAAAGGTCATTAAGCTGCATGCATGCTCCTGAATTCATGTGTTCTTTTTTACTTGCCTCCAAAAGCGTGAGACACAGTTCACAACAAGCAGGGTTGGGTACCTACAACATCCGAGTGGAAATCCCATGTTTGTTTCTTCTTTGACAAGGAAGCTTCCAACAACAATCCTGTGGTTTAATCTTATTTGGAGGTCACCCTGATGATTTTATCAAGGCTTTGAATGAAGTCCTGCTCTTAAGGGCTGCATTCATAAGGCCATGCCACCCCAAAGACTGTCAGGGTCCTGAAGCAAACAAAGGTCAACCTCAGGCCAGGGCAGAAGTTCCAGGAAAACTAACGATCAGGATCGATCTAAAGAGGATGCGAACTTTCCAACTGACTTGGTCTACACAAGATCCCCTCTGAAACAAGCACACATCCAAATGCCTCAGTAAGAGGCAGATTAAGATGTCCCAGAGGCACACTACACCATAGTTTCTTTTTTAAAAGGTATGTGTCTATTCTACTCTGCTCTCCTAGACATGATTTCATCACACAGACCCTTTCTGTGCCACAGAGCAAAGTTTTGTTCTAGAAGATAGCCTGAGTCTGAGATGGGCTCACATCCCACTTTTACGGCATCTCCAGACATTAAAAACGCATCTCAAAACCATTCGGGAGTCTGGTCAGCTCACAATGATGGGGTAGCCTCAGCATCCACACCTTAGCACCCTTTCCACAGGCTCCGGTTTGTCCCTGTCCCATTTGCAACACACCAGCAAGGAGGATGGGGATTACGATACAACATTTCTTGGGGCCACGGGCGACGGCCTCATTGGCTAATGTGACTGTTTGCTCCTATTTCTCAAACTAGCTTCAAAACACAAAAACCTAGTTTAAAGAGGGGAAGAAAGGTATGATTCCCGCACAGGCACACCGGGGCTTCAGCTTCCGTGGATTTCCTAAAGCAACATCTTGACTACACCCTGGGCTGACGGCAGCGACGGTGAGGAAATATTTGAAGGCGGCTTCCCAAATTCCAGGCGTTTTCCCAACCTTCAGACAGAGCAAACCAAATTAGGTGGACATTACAGCTGTTACAGACTGGCTAGCATTGGGGCCTGCAAGTTCTAAGAGTGAATATCAGGAGTCAGGAGCAGTGTCTCCCTGGGTGTCATTTTTCTCTCCCATGAAATGAAGGAAAAGACACTGGCCACCTAGCTCACACACTGCCAAGGCCACACGAGAAGCCCAGTCACATAGAAGACCCGCTAAAGACATCCTCTTCGACAGGGATGCAAGTTGTGTGCATGCCATACAAAACAAGTCTTCCTTTCCCACCAGCAGTCTGCCATGGTGACAGGTCTGCCACAGTGACATGGCTTGGGGGCCAGGAAAATGGTGGCACAGCTTAGAAAATTAATCAATCTAGAAGCTGCCCCTATGCTCCTCAGGTAAGCAAATGCGCGATGCTGCCAGAGATCAGATTTGTGTCTTCCCATCAGGTGACTAGCTTCAGGAATCTAGTCTGGCTAGAACTGAATGCCTACTTCCTGAGTTTCTAAAAGATCTTATTTATTTATTTTTTTTTTTTAAGGAAAAAAAAATCCTCCTCTGGGGGAAGCAGAGCAGTGTTTGAAGCTCAAGTCCCAAACAAGTGTTTTATAGAGGAGGTGCTCACAGGGTGACCAGGAGATGGGGCCGCAGCATCAAATAATGAAAACGAGCCTCTTCCTGGCCATTTACTCTTAACCACAAGATACCACCTAACTCTGTCTCAAAGGGGGTGGGGGCAAGGTTCACAGACATAACTCTGCAGCTTTTCCCAAATGGCTACTGGTCAGGGGTTAGAGGTTCCCACCTGGAATGGGCAGCTAAATGTACTGACCCTTTATCACCCAGAGGCACGCCGGTGCTGCTTGGCTGTCTCTCACTGCCATCTCTGTGCTTGCTCCCCCGCCCGGAGGCTGGGCCACTTGTTCGATTTGGGGACTGATCATACACAAAGTTCCGGCAGGACGCAAGTTTGGACTCCAGGGCCTGCAGAGAAACACGTTTTCATCTTTCAAGTTAAAGACAAGAACTCCCCTCTCACCCAGAGCCTGAACACAGACAATAACTTGCAACGGTGGTTCTCAAATTGTGTTATACAGTGGAATTCCAAAGTGGGGCCCTGAAGGGACCTAATGTATATCTAACTTTTAGAGCCACTAGCCTCAGACATTTTTAGGAGCTTCCTGAGAAATTCAATCACCCTGCCAATCATCTAGTTCTGCCTATGGGAAATATGAAATCCACTTTGGATTTTGTCTTAGCCTTTCAAGATTTTGTTTTTTAACTAAGAAATAAATAAATAAACAAACAAATAAATAAATAAATTTTGCTTATTTATAATTGTATAATATATAATTATAATTATTTATAAATAAATAATTTTATTCATTCATTTTTAAAGATTTTATTTATTCATAGAATACACAGAGAGAGACAGAGACACAAGCAGAGGGAGAAGCAGGGTCCATGCAGGGAGCCCGATGTGGGACTTGATCCCAGGACCCTGGGATCACATCCTGGGCTGAAGGCAGGTGGCTTAACTGCTGAGCCACCCAAGCGTCCCTCCCTAAGAAATTTAAAAAGAGGAAGCAATTTTTAAAATGTTTCTCAGTTCTCAGTTTTTTTCAAATTAAGAAAAAAAAACATAGACACCAACCAAATTTCTCAAATTCCAAAGAAAAATGGCAGGGAAAGATATGCCCAGGGATCAAAGGGATGAGAGTTAGAGCTCTGGGTGTTCATCAATAACAATGCCCACAGAAGTTCAAATGATGCTACAGGACACTAACAGAACCAGAGTTTTGCCTAAAATGCAGGGAGTCTCTGTTAAAAGGGAAAAGAACTAATCAGGTCACCCCTCTCCAATATCCTGAAACAGGCAAGGAGCCACACCAAAGCCCAGGGAGGTGGCAGTCTTACCCCTACTTTCCGAAGCAGGTCTCCCACAATGTTGAGGGCTGATATCCGTGCTGCAGGAGTGAGGGGAGTCCCACCCATGGAGTCGTCCAGACCTGGGTGTGCAAAAGGAAGGACACGTAATACCAACGCACAGTCGAAAGTTTGTGCACAAACATCCCTAAATGCAGAACCACGGGTGTGAGCGCAGGAAGCTAACTCTGCCCTCCGATCCTGCATGCTGCCCTGTTTCACTTGACAGTTAACTAAGACAGAAAAAGTCTACCTGATGAGCAACCGTTTGCAGCCTTAAAACTACCGTATTAATTGTTTATCTTTATGTGTTATTCTTTTAAAGCAAAATCAAAACAAGTCTTCTTGAAATTCTAGGAATTCCATGTAGTTATGAACATCATCCGAACAAACCACATTTGTAAGGGGGCTTCCTCTCCAGAGCCCCTCTCTCTCCTCCAAGCAGGACCCAAGGACCAGCAGCACCAGCATCATCCTGGTTAGGATGCAGGATCCCAGGCCCTGCCCAGACCTGCTGAGTCTTAGGTGCATACCGAAGTGTGGAAAGCCCTGCTCTAGACAGGGATTCTGGAAGTCTCACCAGTCTCTTGATCCCAGGGAATAGGCTAACAGATAAAATAGTCAGTAGTAGTGTGAGCCCTGGAGCCAGCTAGGCCTGGGTCTGAATCCCAGCTCTGCTATTCACCAACTGTATGACCTGATGTAAGCTCCTTTATCAGGGCCTTAGTGTCCTCACCCATCTCCTCACCCATCCCATGGGGACAGCATGGCATCTTGGCCTGTGGTGAGAATTCAGTGAGGTCATATATATGCAAAGCATCTGAAGCAGAGTGGCTAATGAGCATATACCAAGTACCCAATAATTGTCTATTGTTGTTACTTGCTATTAAGTCACCCAGTAACAGTCTTAGTTAATCAGCAGAGGAGCTGGGGTGAAAACTCAAATTTTTCTTTCTTTTTTTTAACCATACAGCCCAGGTTATACTGGTTCTACTTCTAGATGGAAATATTCCTGGACTCACAGAAGCTTTTCCAATTTTTTTTATCTGGTTACTGCAATTTTCAACTTCGAAAACTTTGTGTTTAAGGAGAGGATTTCTGGCTTCCAATGAAGACTGGGAATGTCTGCTAATGCCCAGGGTAGGAGCAGAGTGGCAGCTGCCCCCTCGAGATGAGGCTTCCATTTTCCTGCTTACCACAGACTCCATCGCTCCCTATTACCTCACAACCAAACTCTTCTTATCTCAAAGCTTTGCCCCCCACCCTGGGAACACCCATATGCTCCTTTTAAACACACCCAGTGTCTGTCTCACCCAGAACCCGACTCCTGGGAGAGTTTTGTGAAGCAGAGAAAATCCTCCCAATGTCCATTCCCTTACCACGTCTGAATGTCCCTGGTGTGTTTAAGCTAGTGCTGGGTCCCCGATGAGCTATGGGAGTGGATGGTACAGAGCCAGTGGCCTGCACAGCTGTGTCTGTCCTTTCGGCTTCCACCGAGCTAGGCATGGGGGTCCGGGGCTTCTCCTGCTTCTGCTGCACAGCCAACTCCTGCCGCAAATCTGAGCCAGGACAAGGATTCAGATTAGGTCCTTGCTTCGGGTGATGGGGGGGAGGGGAGGGTCAACAGTAGACACTGGTCAGGGAAAAGAAGTACCAGAATGGAAAATCATAGGTGAAACCCTCAATGAAGTGAAACCCAAGGGACCTGGCCTAGTAGGCTTGGAAAATTATAGATGTTTTAAGTAAAAACATTAAGGTTTAAAAATTTTTTTAAACTATGGCAGTGGCAGGTCACTATTGCTTTCCTTGTTTCAAAAGCAATTTCAGTGCAATAAGGAATAGAGAATAAATACTAAGTGAAAATATGCTTTCCCAGCCCATCCCCAAATGCCCCTCCTTACCCATAATCACTATAATATGGAGAGATATTTTCAATCCTTTTTCTCTGTATTTTCAGACATACAGTTTACATAGATCTCTATTAGACAAATAATAGGAATTCTTATTAAACATAAATAGAAACATATCTGACTATGACAGTATATCTTAACCTAACTATATTTATATCTATAATTTAACAATTGTTTAACGTTCCAGAAAATAAATCTATGCAACTTATTTAACCACTTCACTACTGATAGGAATTTAAACCACCTTTCAATGGGACGCCTGGGTGGCTCAGCGGTTGAGCCTCTGCCTTCAGTTCAGGGCATGATCCCGTAGTTCCGGGGATCGAGTCCCGCATCGGGCTCCCTGTAGGGAGCCTGCTTCTTCCTCTGCCTATGTCTCTGCCCTCTCTCTGTGTCTCTCATAAATAAATAAATAAAATCTTTTAAATAAATAAACTATCTTTCAAGCTTAAAGAGTGTTTTCTTTTTAATCTACCTTCTACTGGCTCTATTTTAGAAACTAAATTAATGTTATGAACAATTAATTGGGATGTTAAAAAAAAAATCTCTTCTGCACCTAGATCTACCTCTCGAACTGTGAACTTCCATGGAGCAAATGCTGACAGGAATTCAGTGCTCTAAGGCACATGTATCAGCTGCCATCAAGCCACAAAAACAAGCGGGCTAGCACGGAATTCCATCAACACGAATTTCTCCCCACAAAACTCTTATACCCCTACTGATCAGAAAGCTAGGGGTGGGTTTAAATAACCACAAGGGGTCTTTACAGGGCCAGACATCAGACAGTTCCTAGCAAGGGGTCAGGACTGAGGCTGAGGGCTACCCAGTGTGGTTCTATACCCTCTGACCCAGACTGTTCATGTGCCAAGTGGAGCATGGATTTCCAGCCAAGGTAATGCTGGGCAACCTTGCAGGACAAGCTGTTCTCAGGGAGGGAGAGGGGAAAACACTGGTGAGGGCACAAAGAACAAAGCCATGGCCTCCTGACCTCTGGCTTCGTCCTTCAGTCGCTGAACAGATTCTAGGAGATTCTCTTTCTCATCAAGCTCACTCTCCAGGAAGGCATTTCTTTCAATGGCTTGATTCAAACGCTGCTCAAAGTCTTCCAGAGACATGATCGTGGCCCTGGTAAAAAAAAAAAAATAAAAATATGGAATTACCATATGATCCAGCAATTACTCTGCTGGGCATATATTCAAGAGAAGTAAAAGCAGGATCTCAGATAATTGTATACGCATGTTCATAGCAGCATCATTCACAGCAATCAAGCAGGAGAAGTAACCCAAACATCCACGAACAGATAAATAAAGAGAATGTGGCATATACAGTTAATGTTTGAACAGAGCGGGTGAGGAGGATAGTGGTGCCAACCCTTCACATGTTAAAAACCTATATATAACTTCTGACTCCCAAAAATTAACTATGAATCATCTAGTGTTGGTCAAAAGCATAATCAACAACAGTCAACTAACACATATTTTGTATGCTCTATGTATTACACACTGTACTCTACAATAAAGTGAAAGAAAATGTTATTAAGAAAACCATAGGAAAAAACACATTTATAGTAACAGACTGCATTTATTTAAAAAAAATTCTGGGGTGGTGGAAGGGGAGGAGGGCGGGGGGTGGGGGTGAATGGGTGACGGGCACGGAGGGGGACACTTGACGGGATGAGCACTGGGTGTTATTCTGTATGTTGGTAAATTGAACACCAATAAAAATTAATTTATAAAAAAAAAAAAAATTCTGTGAGCAGACCCACACAGTTCAAACCTGTGTTGACTCAACTGTGCATACACTGGAATATTATGCAGCCTTAAAAATAAAATAAAAGAAAATCCTGTCGCACACTACAACATGGGTGAATCTCAAAGATCTATGCTAGGAAAATAAGCCAGTCACACGAGGACAAATACTGTAGGGTTCCACTCCTACAGAGTACCCAAAGTAGTGAAAAATCAGAAAAAACAGAAAGGGGATTACTGAGGGCCAGAAGGAGCATGGAGAAGGATTTAGCGTCTAGTGGGTCCAAGTTTCAATGTCACAGGATGAGAAAGGTCTGGAGAGCTGTAGCACAATTAGGTGAATATACTTAATGCTTCTCAACTGTACACTTAAAAATGGTTAAGATGGTGAATTTGATGTAATGTGTTATCACAAGAAGTTTTTTTTTCCAACTTCTGTGTAACAGGAACATGGAAGAGTAAAATTAGATAAATCAGTCTGGGCAGCCTGGGTGGCTCAGTGGTTTAGCACCGCCTTCGGCCCAGGGTATGATCCTGGAGACCTGGGATCAAGTCCCACGTCGGGCTCCCTGCATGGAGCCTGCTTCTCCCTCTGCCTGTGTCTCTGCCTCTCTCTCTGTGTCTCATGAATAAATAAATAAAATCTTAAAAAAAAATCAATTCTAACCTTTTTTATACCTTAGCATTCATGTTAAACAAAAAAGAACCCTTAAGGAATGTATTTAATTTTTAGTTACTTCCAATTAGGCCCTGAGTCTCTCAAGGTTATGCCCTTCCTAAAAGTAAGCCATTTCATTTAACAGATCTACAGTAGAAGAACTTTAACAGGCAAATGGCTGGTAGGGCTGAGAAATTACTGTTCTTGAAGTAGATGGTCAAATTTTCCAAATACAACCATTAAAAATTTATAATAAAATTGTCATGTCTTAGATACAGAAAGAGGCAGATAGACAGGCAGGGGGAGAAGCAGGCTCCCTGTGGAGAGCCTGGTGCGGGACTCGGTCCCAGGACTCCGGGATAACGACCTGAGCCAAAGGCAGATGCTCAACCACTGAGCCACCCAGGTGCCCTTAATTTTTTTTTTTTTAATAAACCTCAGTATTCCATAACTTTATTCATTCTATAATGATGGGTCATTATATATATAATGATATGAATAGGGATCCCTGGGTGGCACAGCAGTTTGGCGCCTGCCTTTGGCCCAGGGCGAGATCCTGGAGACCCGGGATCGAATCCCACGTCGGGCTCCCGGTGCATGGAGCCTGCTTCTCCCTCTGCCTATGTCTCTGCCTCTCTCTCTCTCTCTCTCTATGTGACTATCATAAAATAAATAAATAAATAAATAAATAAATAAATAAATAAATAAATAAATTAAAAAAATAATGATATGAATATATGAATATATATGAATGATATGAATATATAATATTCATGATATAATGATGACTTGGGCTTCACCTCTACCTCTTCTGATTTTTTTTTTTTAAGATTTTCTTTATTTACTCATGAAAGACAGAAGAAGAAACAGAGGGAGAAGCAGACTTCCTGACGAGAGCCTGATGCAGGACTTGATCCCAGGACTCTGGGATCATGACCTGACTCAAAGGCAGACACTCAACCACTGAGCTATCCCGGTGCCCCTACCTCATCTGATTTTAACACCAAACAATTCAGCATTTGGCCACAATGGGAATCCTATGTGCCTTTAATTTTAAAAAATATAATGAAATGTAAGACAGACAAGAAAAAGAAAGCACAGACTAACTGCTTTATAAACCTTGGACTGCAGAATGCCCTTCCAACTGTGGCTGATATATCTAACCACAGAGAAATCAAATAACTTCTGGCAGTAACGTAAACAACAAAGCTGGAGGACAAATCTAAACTCCAAATATTTTCAATTTGTATCAAAATATATAACAATCTCCTAGAAATGAAAAACAACCCAATTTAAAAGTAGGCAAAGATAAACAGTTCATAGAAAAAGACATAAAACAGTTCTTAAATTAGGAAAAGGAACCAACATCACTCATAATTGAGAAATGTATCCATTGGTCACTTATACTGGCAGAGATGCAAAGTTTTGAAAACCACTCCGTTAGTGAAGCTATTTGGAAAAGAGGGATTTACATACATACTTGCAGGGAATATAAAGTGATACAACCATATAGAGAACAAATGGGCAATAACTATCAAAATCACATACGCATCTATCCCTTGACCCGGCAATTTCACTTGTGGGAATTTATTCTACGAATAAACATCTGTGCAAGCAGTGTTTAGCATTCGTAACAGTAATGCTTATCACTGCACAAGAATGCAAATGTAGCAGATAACCATCCACAGGGGACTGGACAAATATATTATTATGTATTATACAATACCAACCATACAATAGAATATTATGCACTTGGGGAAAAAAGAACAAAGAATGTTTTATGTCCTGAAAAATCTCGAAGATCTACTGTTATGTGAAAGAAGATGTGCAACAGTGTGTATAGAATGCTCTTTGTAGGAAGGGCAGAAGGGAGGGATAATATGAATTCCCTTTTTCGCTATTTGCTTGAATTTGCATTAAAAAAACTCTACCTTTTGTACATTATTTTTGAACTGGTGAATGTACTATCTCTTCATGGTAGATTGCATCACTGGTCCTAAATCTTCACCCTCCCTACATCCACATCCTTGCTATGGCCTCATTGTGAGTGGAATATACTGTCCCACCTCTTGACTTGGACCATGTGACTTGCTTTGATCAATGAAATATGGGTGGAAACAATGGTATGCCAGTGGCTTGCTAAAAATCACACATACTACAAAGTCACGGAAATCAAGTCATTACAGTATTGGTATAGTAATTCACAAATTGTACACTGGACCAAAATAAAGAATTCAGAATGAATCCCAGGATATGTCAGAGATTAACATATGACAGAGATGGGTTACACTCAGTGGGAAAAATGAGTGTTTAATAAATTGTACTGGCACAATCAGCTATCTATGCATTGAAAATAAATTGGGGGGCAACTGGGTGGCTCAGTGTTGAGCGCGTCTGCTTTTGGCTCGGGTAATTCTAGGATAAAGTCCCGCTTTGGTCTTCCTGTAGGGAGCCTGCTTCTCCCTCTGCCTCCATCTCTGCCACTCTCTGTGTCTCTTACAAATGAATAAATAAAATCTTTAGAAAAAAAGATTGGATCTAGTATCTTGTACTAGATAAATTTCAGGCAGATTAAAAGCATAAGTATAAAACAAAAAAGTCTTACAAAAAACAAATTAAAAGAAGACACACACAAAGGATCAAGGAGCTCTCCCTAGTGAACTCTGGAGACCTAGAAGCTAAAAAAGGAGACATAAACTGGATGATCTAAAAATGGTAATTATTTGTATGGAAAATGATAACAGAGACAAAGGCAAAAGACTGGATTATTCTAGGACAAATATTTCCCATGTAGGACAAAAAGATTAGCAGTGAAAATATACAAAGAGCTCTGACAAATGGATAAGAAAAGAGACCCCATTTCTGATAATGATAAGGTGGCTTGTATCAGACGAAACTTCCCATAGATTACAACTAGAGTCTGGAGACCCTGGCAATAATGGGAGCCAATACAGTGGGTGAATGTTGCATCTCTGTTAGTGCTTTGCCTACAGCTCCAGTGATAGAAATCCACCAACACAGGGGAGTGCCAAATTCTCATACAAACTCTTCTCGTATCTCTGGCGAACCCCTGGACCATGCATATGCACAGCAGACTTGAAGCAGTCTGGTCAAGGCTAAAAGAATCAAACAGATTTCAGCTTCTGCCCATTAAGCAGAAACAGTTTGTGGAGTGTTAGTTCAGCCAAGTTAACAGATCAAAAAAACAAAACAAAACAAAACACCATAATCCATAGTTTCTGTAACACATCATTCATAATGCATGTTCTAGAATTCAAAATTACTTGACACGTTAAGAACACAAAAAATGTGATCCAAACTCAGGAGAAAAGGCAATCACAGGGACAAATCAGCCCTAAGATAACCTAGACGTGAGAATTAGCAGGAAAGGACTTTCAAGTAGCTACTGTAGCTCTGCTCAAAGACATAAAGAGAGGGGTGCCTGGGTAGCTGTCTGTTAAGCATTCTGTCTCTTGATCTCAGCTAAGGTCTTGATCTCAGGGTTGTGAATTCAAGCCCCACATTGGGCTCCGCACTGGGCACGGAGTCTACTTAAACTGATGATGATGATAATGATAATAATATTAATAATGATGCAGAGGACTGTGGAGGCGACATAAAGTTTCCATATCTTAACAAGAGCATGGGTCATGTGAACATATATGCAATTTATCCAAACTGATGGAACTATATGCTTAAAATCTGTGCATGCCACTATATGCAATTTATATCTAACTTTTAAAGTGGTTTCATTAAAAAAAAAAAAGAAGGCCTGGCACAGAGTAGTTATATAATAAAAGTTAGGATTGTTAGTATTCTGGTAAACAACAGAATGTCAGTTTAGGAAATCCTGTTCTTCGCACATGCTTACCTTAGGGCGGTATCTAGCACATGCTTGTCCTTCTGCCTGGGATGTTCTCACCTCATAATCTTCCTCCCCTGGATGATGCATCTCCTGGTCTTAGCCCAAATGTCACTTCCACTGGGAAGTCCTACTTAACATTTACCTGCCAATGGCCGGACTAATGCATCCTATCACATGCCCCCTAGACTTGCAGCACCTACTGCTGTAGTCAAGTTGCACTTGGGGGGCGACTGGGTGGCTCAGTTAGTTAAGTGTCTGCCTTTGGCTCAGGTCATGATCTTGGGATCTTGGAATCTAGCCCTAAGTTGGGTGCCCTGTTCACAGGAAATCTGCTTCTCCTTCTCAGTGCCTTTGCCAACTCAGGCTCGAGCTGTCTCTCTCCAATAAATAAATAATTTTAAAGAAAAAAAAAGTTGCACTTATCTGTCCATTGTCCATTTCCTATAAGGACACTGACTTGGCTCCCTGCTGAATTCTTTATACTCAACCCAGTGCTTGGTACCCAGGCGCTGGGGTCAAACAGTAAAGACAAAAGGCTCTAAAATCTGTTTTCTCCTTCCCGACGTACCGTTTTGCTCTTTCCAAGTCGTCATTTGCTTGCTCCAGCTCTCTGATGTATTTCTGAAGTTGATCCTTAATTGCTTTGGTCTGGGCAAGGTCATCCTCCAAGGCTGAAATCTGCCGGTAGCCTTCAGAGTGCTGAGTTTCAAACTTCTCCTGGAGGACAAAATTGACACTGAGGGTATGATTTAAGTCTTCTGATAAGCGGTGTTCACCTTCCTTCCCTGTCATTTCCTTAAAAATGCTGAAGACTAATCCTTGAACATACATTTTCCTGCTGGAGTGAACACTGTTGTGTTTTGTTGTTGTTTTGTTGTTTTGTTTTTTTTTTTTAAGATTTTATTTACTTGAGAGAGAGAGAGTGAGCGCGCCCAAGAGCATGAGTGGGGTGAAGGGCAGAGGGAGACACAAACTTCCCACTGAGCAGAGAGCCCGATGTAGGGCTCCATCCCAGGACCCTGGGATCATGACCTGAGCCAAAGGCAGCCGCTTAACCAACTGAGCCCCCTGGGTACCCCAAACACTGTTGTTTTTAGCACATGAACATCCATTTCTCCCTATGTGTGCAGTTCAGCAGCATCCTGATTTCTTTAGGGGATTTAGCTCTCCCTTATTATAGGATCTTTATGGGACCAGTCTTCACCTCATCCTCACAAGGAGGCCCCAGACATTCTATTCTAGCAGCCTCCTGCCACAGCCTCGGGACAAGCCTAAGATCAGCCAGCAGAACCTTCTCTCCACATGGATCATGACCATGTGAGGGCAGACGGCAAGAACAGGGAACCACCATTCAAAGCTGTTATATTCCAAGTGCTTCCTGCCTCCTGGCCCCGTAGCATCTTGCATCCTGCCCCCTCCAGAACTCGGTCCCTGCAGCCTCTGGGTGTGAAGAAGCCCCTGACAATCTTCAAAGCAATTATTTTGCTCAAAGCATCCACAGCCATAGAAAGCCACATAAACTTCTCCAACTCTCATCCACAAGGGCAACACAAATCCACTTCATGTGACATCCCTGGATTGTGTTATCAGGAATCACAATGACTTTGGATGCTTGTGCCTCGCCCTAAGAGCAGGAAACCATGAACTTAGTCTGACAACTGTTCTAACTTTGTGATCCAGGACACGCCCCTGCAGCATGGGGGTAGTTAGAAGGGACTTCTGGACCTTTGTGGGAGGGAGGGAAGGAAGGAAGGAAAACAAAACAAAAAAATAAACCCCACAACTTATTATTAACTACCAAAAGTTGCTTCTCCCTCTGCCAGTGTCTCTGCTTCTCTGTGTCTGTCATGAATAAATAAATAAAATCTTTAAAAATAACAATAGTAATAATTACCAAAAGTAGCTCAGTGTGATCTGACTAGTGCTTTCCAAGGCAAAGAATAGTCAAATGACTTTGCGATCTGCTGCTGCTCAATTTCAGCAGCTAACATTCATCACATGCTTACTCTGGGTCAGCTTCTGGGCTCACGACAGTACTTATATTGGCCCATTTAACGCCACTTCAGAGATGTGAACTGAGGCTTCTTCATTAACCCAAAGCCAACCGGGAGCTAATGACTGAGCCAAGATCCAGTCTGGGCCACCAGGGCTTGTGCTCTTAATTAAAAAAAAAAAAAAAAAAAAAAAAAAAGGTTTTATTTATTCATTCATGAGAGAACACATCGAGGGAAGCAGAGACATAGAGGGAGAAGCAGGCTCCCTGCAGGGAGTCCCATGCGGAACTCAATCCAAGGACCCCGGGATCACGATCTGAGACAAAGACACTCAACCACTGAGCCAACCAGGTGGCCCAGGGCTTGGGTCTTTTTTTTTTTTTTTAAGATTTTATTTATTTATTCATGAGACACACAGAGAGAGAGAGAGAGGCAGAGACATAGGCAGAGAGAGAAGCAGGCTCCATGCAGGGAGCCCGATGTGGGACTCGATCCCGGGACTCCAGGACTATGTCCTGGGCCAAAGGCAGATGGTTAACCGCTGAGCCACCCAGGGATCCCCAGGCTTGTGCTCTTAAAACAACTATACTAAATTGCCCTCCAACATTTCCTTCCAGAACACATAGGTATTAACTGGTCGTGTACATACACACACACACACACACACACACACACTCTGCTCAGGCTTCTCTTTCAAATCACCTTCCTTCACCCAACACCCCTACTGCTTTCCCTTCATCTACACACAAAAGAAAACACTTCCCACAGGAAAGGCCCAAAGTCTACTTAGAAAGTTTGAGGGGTCCTGGCTGGCTCAGTTGGTGGAGCATCCAACTCCTGATCTCAGGGTTGTGAGTTCAAGCCCCACATTGGGTGTGGAGAGGACTTAAAAAATAAAATCTTAAAAAAAGGAAAAAAGGAAGTTTGAAAAACAGATGAACTCCTCTCTCCTCAAGTAAACAAAGGCGTTGCTAATCTGGATGCGCCAGGAGAGTGACATAATGGTGCCTGGGCCAGAGAGGTGTGGTGAGAGCCCTTCTCCCACGGAACAAGTAGATCATTTACAAGGCGCTGACAGGGAGGGCATTCCACATCCTCACTGCTAGGTCCCCTCTGATACTCTGTTTCCTGGCTGGGAGCACAGGAAGCATCTCCACTCAGGCAAGGAGGGGCCGACCAAGCTCCACACCCAAATTCCCAGGGCTGGCTCTGATGGCTTCACACCCTTTATCAGGGTGCATCACCAAATAAAACAGAAGTGTAGAGGATCCTAGGTCAGTAACCTAAATTCAAATGCAGCTTCCAAAATGATGTAGTTAAGGGGCTTCTCCACCAGCATAAAGATTCAAATGATGCCCTTTGAAATTAGGGACATGAAAAGCCATTGCTAAATATTGTGCTTTCATTTGGGGTTAATTATAATAAGCTGTCAGCTGATGGAGGCCTCAACAGACGCTCTGTTTGATCTCTTACAGGCCTTTTTGTTCAATTTGTGATGAATAAGCCAGTTGTCAAGAAGTCTGACTCAGTTGAATACATTTCTCTGAGTTACTGACAGATATTTGCTGGCAGCAGTTTATTTATTTTTAAAGTAATCTGTACCCCAGCATGGGGCTCGAACTCACAACCCTGAGACCCAGAGTCGCATGCTCCAACAGTGGAGCCAGCCAGGAACCCCCCTGGCGGCAGTTATCCTATTTTCCTGCATTTCTATTTCTTTCCCGGCTCTATGCTCTGCACCTCATGCATCTATCATGTGGCTGTCATGAAGAGGTCTTCTGCAGGTTCAAGGGCTCTGTTGGGAAGCAGTTAATTACTTCATAATTGCGCAGTATGAGCCTGCCTCCATGGAGGGCCTGTTCCCTCTCCCGACTCTGGTTCACAGATTTTACTTCCACGCTGCTTCTTGCGTCCCTGAGTCCCTTCCAAGTTAAGCATGGGAATGATTCCTTAGTGCCTATGGCAGGGGTCAGGTTGTTAATCAAATGAGTGATGTGGGCCAGGTGTAGAGATAAAGCAAGGGACACTTATACCTCAGTGTCAGAAATGGAGGTGGGGGATGGTTGCGGGAACTCAGATGGACTGGTGAACAGTGGCTCTGTCTCGGCAACCACTATGTGGTGTTTTGTTGGTGTGGAATAATGCAGGCCTGGTATGGCCAGATCTGCTGGTTCTCAAAGGGAGTCAGGAATCCAGATTTTTATACAAAGCCTCACAACTTTGAATATTAAGTACTTAAGTAGGGGCATCTGAGTGGCACAGTCCGTCAAGCATCTTACTCTTCATTTTGGCTCAGGTCATGACATCAGGGTTGAGACTGAGCCCCACGTGGGCTCCGCACTCAGCGTGGAGTCAGCTTGAGATTCTCTCCCTCTGCTGCACTCTCCACACACATCCACGCTCTCTAAATAAATAAAATCTTTAAAAAACATTAAAGACGGACACCTGGGTGACTCAGTGGTTGTGTATCTGTCTTCAGCTCAGTCGTGATCCCAGGGCCCTGGGATTCAGGTCTTCCCCACAGGAAGCCTACTTCTCCCTCTGCCTATGTCTCTGCCTCTCTCTGTGTGTGTCTTATGAATAAATAAAAATCTTAAAAAAAAAAAAAAAGCAAAACAAAACAAAAAACACTAAAAGATGAAAATTTTATTACCAAAAGAATAAACTATAAACAAACCCTCAACTCTAGGGAATAACAGCATGCTGAAGGTCGCCTGGGTGGCTCAGTGGTTGAGCATCTGGCTTTGGCTCAGGGCGTGATCCTGGGGTCCTGGGATCAAGTCCCTCATCGGGCTCCCTGCAGGGGAGCCTGCTTCTCTCTCTGCCTATGTCTCTGCCTCTGTGTGTCTCTCATGAACAAATAAAATCTTTAAAAATAATAGCATGCTGAAGTATTGACAGGCAAGTGTATAGATGTAAGTCACTCTGAACTCCATCAGAAAACTAGATTGATAGATGGATATGATAGGTAATAAAAAGTCAAGCATGGCAAAGGTTATTAGTAGAGCCTCAGTGGCAGATAAACCGATGGCCACTGGAAAAGTCTTTCAAACTTGCTGTGTGCATGAAAACTGTCATGACAAAATGTTGAATAAAAACCACCAAAGGCTAATAGGCGAAAACATCTGTGGGCCAGATTGATCTGTAGATGGCCAGTGTGGGCTCTGTGGTCTACAACATAAAAAGCTTATGCTCAGCTCTGAGATCTTTGGGATCTTTCCTCTGCCCCTCCCCAACCCTCAATCCCCAACCCACTGGCTGGTCCCACTTTTTCCCATGTACTACTAAAGCCAGGATTCTCAAGTCTGCTTGATACCCATTCTTGTCTGTGTTTATGGAAGGTCCAGATTAACTCTTCACTAACCCCTACACCTTAACCTGCTGGCTATGCGTGCGCGCACACACACACACACACACACACACACACACACACACACACACACATGCACACAGACTCCCCTCACCCTCAACCATCAGATCAAATCCCTCCCAGCTTCCCCATGAAGCTCTCTCCAGCTCATGAAGACCTTTCTCAGAAGGATCTCCTGGTCGGTACTATGTAATTGGGTATCTTAAGTGCTTTTTGGGGTTAGGTTTTTCTTCCTCACAGAGCTTCCGGAATACCAGGAGTGCATCTCCCTCCACTATCCACCATACCTTACCCTTGGTTCTTTCCTCTAGCACCTCATTAAAATTTACATGGGGAGCTTTATTTTTAAAAACTGAAGGGGTGCCTGGTGGCTCAGTCAGTTAAGTGGTCGACTCGATTTTGGCTCAGGTCGTGATCTCTGGGTCCTGGGATCTATCCCTGCATTAGGCTCCGTGCTCAGCAGGGAGTCTGCTTCAGGATTCTCTCTCCCCTTCGGGCCCTCTCCTTGCTCACTCTACCTCTAAAACAAATAAATAAATCTTTAAAAAGGCATGCAGACATGCTAGGTGCCCCCCCAAACACATTCAGACCAGGAACCTCAGGGCAGAGGTAGGTTCAGGCCTGATTTTTTTTTTTTAAGATTTATTTATTCATGAGAGACAGAGAGAGAGGCAGAGACATAGGCAGAGGGAGAAGCAGGCTCCCTGCAGGGAGTGATGTGGGATTCGATCCTGGGACTCCAGGATTATGCCCTGGGCCGAAGGCAGACGCTTAACCGCTAAGCCACTCAGGGATCCTACAGGCCTAATATTCATGAAACTAGCCAGGTGATCCAGCCTGGCAGTGAGGGCTGAGAGCCGAAGTCTCCAGGGCACTGTATGAGTGATTATCTGCTAAGCCCTACAAAATGTCCAAAAGGCAGTCTTTGCTCTTGGAACCAGTGATGCTCCAGATACTTGGCAACATCTAAAGGTATTTCTGGTTGTCATCATGGGGGGGGGGGGGAGGGAGTATATTGGGCCTTGCACAATATAATGATGAGCAGATCTAGTGACACCCTATACTCTAAAAATGTCTATCTTTGGGCACCACAGTGGCTCAAGTTGCTTAAGCTTCTGCCTTCACTCAGGTCATGATCTCAGGGTCCTGGGATCAATCCCTGCGTTGGGCTCTTTGCTCAGTGGGGAGTCTGCTTCTCTCTCTCCCTCTGCCCCTCCCCCAGCTTGTGCTGTCTCTTTCTCTCAAACAAATAAAATCTTAAAAATAAATAAATAAATAAGAACATCTACCTTTCATATGCCTTGTGGGGTTGTGGTAGGTAGCCAAGGATGACCATGTGGACACATGTGTGACTCGTTTCTCATAGAGCTCCTCCCAACGGGGGCAAAAAAAAGAGTTCTACTACCATATGCACCCAGCAGGCCAGCAGGCTGGCCTCCCACGGCAGGGCTCACTTTCCCAAGCACACACACCAGGAGGGAAGGCTGTCTGGACCTGCTATTTCCTCTCACCTTGATGGTTTCCAGCTCCATACGAAGGCGGTTATTCTCCGACAGGAGGTCCCTGTTCCTGGTTTCAATCTGTTGCAGCTGCGTCTCCAATTCAGCTTCATATTCGCGGCTTCCCTCCTGGAATTCTCGGAGTTCCTCCTGCGTGTTCTCTGCCCTAAAAAATTCCCAGCTGTGTCAGGCAATCATTTACTGAGCACCTACTGTGCTGCTGAGTGTTATGCAGACCTTTTGAGGCAGAAACTCTCCTTACCCTCATTTTACAGATAAGGCTGAGCTGAGTAACTTGTCTCAAGGTCATAGGAGTCAGAAGCAGAGCTCAGACCTGAACCTAGGTGTTCCTGACTCCAAAGCCATTTCTTTACCAACCCACCCTCAGCTCATTCATTCAACGTATTTTGTTTTTAAACTCAATGTGGACTTGGGATTGCATGCCCTCCGCAGATTTACTTGTAAGCAGAAATTGGATCTAATATAAATGTTTGCTTATCCCCACGGCTGCAATGTACCCCCACCCACCCCCACTCAATTCCTGCTCCTCAAGCCTTAAAAGTCAAGCAACATTTTTTTCTTTTAATACTAAATCTGAATTATCTTTAAGTCCAAGTAAGAATAAGGAAATTAGAGGAACTGGAATAAGACCTCCAGGTGGAGAGTAAAAGAGTCCATGAGAAACAAAGAAACAATGCTGAACACACACACATACACACACTCTACTCCCAGATAGGGACACTGAATTGTTGGCTTCAGATCTAAAATCTGCAACAGCCCATATTGTCAGGCACACGGAGAGGTTCTTTCCTCTCGCGCGGGGGAATGACCAGATATGGCATCTGGAACGGATAAAATCCTGCCAGAAAATAAGATGGGAAGGAGCACAGACAGCAATTTGCTTAGGACCATAGGCTTTGGCACTCACATTCTAGCCAAGCCACTTACTGCCTGTGTGACCTTGGTGGGCAAGTTTATTTGCCTTCCCGGAGGCTCAGTTCCTCATTTGCAAAATGGGGTAATAATTGTTTCCTCAGGAGGCAGTTTGAGATTTAATGGACAGAGTGTGTGTAAGGTCCTTTACAGTGCTTGTCACTTAAGAGGCCACAAAACACCCCAGTGGGAAGAAAAAGCAGGGTCGACTTTGGAAGACTGACCTCTGCTTGTAGGTCATAGCCAGATCTTTCCAGTAGTTCGCTTCTTCCTCCTCAGAACTGAAAGTCTTTCCGGAGTCTTCCATTGTGAAAACAAAGGAAGAGGTCACTCTCCTTGTGGCATGGTGTCTAGGAGAGAAAGCTTTAATATTATTACCCATATCTGGTTAAATAGCTGATCTCTTTTTTAAGATTTACTAGAAAGAGAGTGTGTGCAGAGCACGAGAGGGAGTGCATGAACAGGGGGAGGGTCAGAGGGAGAAGCAGACTCCCCACTGAGCAGGGTGTCCGACACAAATGGGGCTCAATCCCAGGACTCTAGGACATGAGCCAAAGGCAGACACTTAACCTAAGACTGAGCCACCCAGGTGCCCCTAAATAGATGAGCTTTAATAGGGGGAAACCTCCTGAATTTTATGTTGGATTAAATGATAAAACATTGCCAAAAACTGAAACTAAACCCAGACAAAATACAGCCCACCCACATTACATTCCACAAGTTGACAAAACTACCAAGACTGTATTCATTTCATGGGGAGAGAGGGGTTGCCAAGGGAGGGGAGAAGGAGGTGAGGACATCGCCTGGGGTTCTAGTTTAGACAACTGGTATACCACCATCCCCATCACCAGTGATAAAGAATATGAGAAGGAAAGTCTTCGGGGCATGAGGATAATGAGGCCAGTTTGGGACATTTCTAGTTTGACATGCTTGTGACACATCCAGAAGCAAAAGATCTGAAACTCTAGGGTGACACAAACTTAAGAGTCCTGAGCCTGTAGCTGCTTCTTCCCTTTTTCTTGTGACGGAATTGCTGGAGAATCTAGTGAGGACTATTTATGGAACTCTGAGGAATGCCAACGTTTGACTGGTAGGCAAAGAAAGAAATAGTAATCTTAGGAGATAGAGGACAAATGAAGAGACAAGAACCAGACAGTGAGCTGTCCTGGGAATAGATGGTGTCAAGGGGAAAAGCAGGAACGTTCCACAGTATCCATGCTACAACAGAGAAACTAAGATAAGGACTGGAAAATACCCAGGAGACTTAGCGAAATGTCGGTCACTGGTGATGTGGGCAAGAGTAGTTTCAACACAGTGGAGGAGGGAGGAGGAATAAATTGGGTGGTTATGAGGAGGCGAAGAAGAGGAAGTAGAGGGAATTTTGGAGAGCTGGGTGTGAGAAGCAGACAAACGGGAGAGTAGCTAGAGGGCAGGGGGTGGGAATGGGGCCTTGGCTCCAAGGACTTGCAGACACCCAGAGCAGCGGCTGGGGAACAGCTGGCAATTCAGACTCCCTGCTGGTAGAGCCTCTCCACTTAACAGCTTATTCTCTGAATTTAAGGCTCTGAGCTTCTCAAAAGTTCATCAGGAATCCAAATGAGAGGTCTCCAAGGTCCCTTCCTTCCCTCAAGGGAGCTCACAATGTGGTGTCCTTAGGGACAAAAGAATGAACGCAACCCCTCACTTTGCAAGGTATAACTGTATTTTTTTTTTCTTTTTGAGAGAGAGAGACACCGCATGTGAGAGCAAGCACTGCAGAAGGAGAGAGTATTTTAAGCAGGCTCCAGCTCAGAGCATGGAACCCAACTTGGGGCTCCATCCCAGGACCCTTAGATCATAACTTGAGCTGAAATCAAGAGTCGGATGCTTACCCAACTGAGCCACCCAGGCGCCCATAACAAGCTGTATTTTTTACTACAAATATGAGTCATTCAGCTAAATATGTTAGAGTTGACATGGACACAATCACCAACTTCTGGATCCCTGGCAAAAAAAAAAATTAATTATATTGGAGCACAGTCCTTATTTATAACTAGATTTGTTAGTACCTGTACTCACATCTTGCTAATTTCTCTCCCTTCCCAGATTCAGAGACAAGATGCCCCATTCCCCACCTACCACCTTCTGGGGAACAGAATTTCTCTGAAAGCTGGATGAAAGCAGAAAAGCTGGACAGAGTAGAAAGCCGTCCATTTGTTGATTTTTTTTCCAGTCCAGTATTTCTTCTTCCGGCTTTCTGGAACACCACCCCAATCTTAGGAAAACCAACCCTATACTCATTCCATGTGATTCAGATGTACTTCGCACCAGCATCTAGGAGACACATGATTGGACGGATGCCTCCAGTATCAGTAACTGGCTCAGAGGTGGGCCAATGTTGGTTCAGGGCTAGCCCTTAACCCAAGGAGAACCAATGACAGCTGCAAGTTGAACCCAAACTGAGTCATTGATTGGTTCAGGGCTGGCCCTTACCCAAGCAGAGCCAATGACAGGGGCAGGTCAAACCCAAACTAGGCCAATGATTGGTTCAGGGCTGGCCCTTACCCAAACTGAGCCAACCAGTGTCCAGGTCTTGGGCTTTCGCAGAGCCATCAAGAAAGACACTCTGGGGGATGCCTGGGTGGTTCAGCGGTTGAGCGTCTGCTTTCTGCCCAAGGCGTGATCCTGGAGTCCCTGGATCGAGTCCCACATGGGGCTCCCTGCATGGAGCCTGCTTCTCCCTCTGCCTATGTCTCTGCCTCTGTGTCTTTCATGAATACATAAATAAAATCTAAAAAAAAGACACTCTGGAAGTGTTAGCTAACCTTATTGTGGTAACGGTTTCACAATATACATGTTTATCAAACCATCATGCTATATGCCTTAAACTTACACAATGTTATTTGTCAATTATATCTCCATAAAGCTGGGAGAAAAAAGAAACTCTTTCCACTAGGGTAAGACGGTAGGAGGTAAGCCTGGAGCTGCCAGAGATCATCCCTCCATCATAAGAGAAGGAAGCCAAAACAGAGGAATGCAGGGCCAAGAGGTGGAGACACTGGGTCCTGATGATATCATTTGAACACCTGGATCCAGTCATACTTGATTTAAGGTTATGAGAGATCGCCAACCACCTTTCTTGATTATACCAGTTAGGATTGGATTCCTACCATGGAGATCCTGATTAAGGTAAGTAGTGAAAGATGTTGTTTGCTGAAAGTAAAAAGAACAGAGCACCTGGAGTGTAAATAACAGTAATTAACATGGCAGGAGGTAAGGATAAACTCAGGTCTGGTACTCCCTGCTCAAGCCTTAAGCTCTGATGACCCCAGAACTCTTCAATACAAAATCCCCAAACCACCGCCTCTAGTGTCAAGAGCCTGTGCAACTGAGGACCGTGTGGCCATTATGTAGAGTACAGTCTCAACTGCATGGCATGGGAATCTGTGTAGTAAGCCAAAAAAGTGAGAACTAAAAACAATGGGTGTAAATCGACTTTTCCTGCTATCTGGGAAAATATCACATCCAATATTTAATGTAATTAGTTCCTACTTCTCTAAACATTCCCCAACCCTAGCCCCCCTCGTTAGCAATGTGGTTCAAACCACATTGCCTTCTTTCTGTTCCTTGAACACACCAAGCTTGCTCCCACCTCAGGGCTTTTGCACTTGCTATTCTCTGCCTGGAATGCTTCTCCCTCAGCTCTCTGCCCAGATATCCTTCTTGTCATTCCGATCTCAGCTGAAATGTCCTCCCCAGGGAGACCTTATTTGAATATCCCACCAAATATCCCCTCCGGTTCTTCACTATTAACCCCTACTTTGTTTTATTTCACCATTTTGAGTTTTGTTTTTATTTTCCCCCACTGGAATGTCAATGATTGAATACAGCGGCCTTCTGGGTCTTGCTTTTTTATCCCAATGCCTAGAACAGTGCCTGGCATATACTAGGCATTCAGTAAATGTTTGTGGAATGAAGGGGGAACACAGTATGGGACCACTAGCAGGAAGGGGATGTAAGGTTAAGGAAAGGCAGGAAGGCAGAAACCTCTGAAGACTAGTTTATAGTTGACATCTGTAAATCTCTAAGAGGCTTGTCAGGAAAACCTCACTCTCCCTCAGCACCTGTATGGCATCTCATTAGTGGGAAGCGGCAGGAGAGGATACCATGTTGGAAACGACCCCCTCCTCAGGTGTACATGATAAGGATCATCTGATACTGTTCTTGGGGTTTAATAACGGTTCATCCTGCACTCTTAAAACATGGCCAGTGAGGACTAAAAGTCCTTGGGAAAGAAGTGAATTTGAGATGTTTTAGGAGGCACTTCCAATGCAAGAGAGGCTTTAATTATAATGGTGCTGATGGGTGGGCTGATTTTGGACTTCAGGGCCAGGAGTTGGTGGGGAGAAGCTAAGCAGAGACCTGAGCTCCTGTCACAGCCTGAACCAACTGTAGCTCCTTCAACTAAAGGGCAAAAACCACAGGCTTGGCATTTCAACCCAAACCGCCGTGCAATTTAAAAACAATCCTTAGGGAAGAGAAAAAAATATATATCCTAGACTAAGAAGCAGTAACAGCTGAACTTCACACTGAAACAACAATCTTAAAAATGTACGATTCTTCCTTTGCCATTTGAAAATGTCTCACAGTTCCAATGTGCATTATTCTTTGCCACAGAAAGCAGGTAAGATGACTTGGAAAGACTCTCTCTCCTTACTGAGTTGAACCACCACCTTCTGTTTGCCCTGTGCTGGGTGTGTAATAACTTATCTTCGAGTTTATCCCCTTTGAGCCATCTGACTATAAGAGTAAGCAAGACATCACTAGGCTCCTAGAAGCAGAAGCTGGAGCAGAAACACTGCATGCCTTGGCCATTTCCATAGGTGCAAGTGAATGGCTAGAGGCAAACCAGACCAAGTGCAAGTTGGGAGGGGTGACTGGAGGGCCTTTGAATTCAAGTTCATGGTCTCCTTGGGGTTGCAAAGAGAATGTTCAGAGGTCAGATTCACTCGTTTCATCCGGCCCACATTGTCTCTTCAAAGGCACTGTGACAGGCACGGGTTAATGCTAGGTCTCGGTATATACAACTCTGTACCTGCTCTCTTAAAAATGGGTGCTACATGCATTTATTACATTTGTGCTACAAGTGTTCTAGGCATTTTGCCTCTGAGCCTGTGCTCTCAATAGCCCATCGTGCCCCAGGAGCTCTATGGACAAATCCAATGGGCACTTCGAAAGTATATGCTACAGCATGCAAGGAAGAACAAGCTGGGAGCAAGAAGTTCAAAAATTATGTGTTCTCCATTTTGCGTAACTTCGATCTCCCGACACACCTTTGCTTTCGAAACCCTAGAGAGAAAAAAAAGCAATCTCCTTTCTTCACTTAGAAGAAAGCCAGCATAGCTGATCAGGAACAATACACATGGATAAACTATCAAGAATTAACACACCGCCCTCCTCCACACCAACCTCCATCCTCCCCAACCAAAACAAATGGAAGAGCTGAATGGAGAGGGAGGGTCAGAAAGACTTGGCCAAACGTCAGCATGTGCTTCAACAGCTTCTAGGTTATGACGCAGGCCCTGCATTTTGCAGAAGTGGCATCACTGGGGCAAAACCAGTCAAGAGTCAGCAAGTCTGGCTTCTGTCTCTACACCTTCCAAGTCTATAATGATCTTCCTACAAAAATACTGAGATAGGCATGCAAGGACATATACTCAAGGGTGTATGCCATCATTCACTGATGTGGAAAATTGGAGCAGCTCAACTGTCAACAGAGGACTGGGAAAAATTATGTAGTCGTTAAGAAATATATGAACTAATATGGAAGAAAGCTCATGATACGTTGAAAGAAGGTTACCAGTTTTGTTTGTAAAGGTATGTCGCTCTCTTTGCATACATGAAAAGGATCTGGAAGCATGTACCAGACGGGGGTAAAGTAGGCACTGAGATAGGACCTGTGGGGTGGGAGCAGGGGGAGGGGTGCCCAGTGGCTCAGTTGGGTTAAGTAACTACCTTTGGCTCAGGTCCTGTGCTCGAGCCCTGTGTTGGGGTTCCCTGCTCAGAGGGGAGGCTGTTTCTCCCTCTCCCTGCCCCCACCCACGCTCTCTAATAAATAAAATCTTTAAAAAAAACCTGTTCCAGACACACTACTGTATGCATTGATTTTTACAATAAGCATAGGCTGCTTTTGAAATTTTAAAAAGCTTACACTCAGATCAAAACATAGAATGAAAAAAAAATAGAATGGCTATTGTTTCAGGATAAGGTTATTCTATTGAATCAAGATACCAGGGAAAGATTTTTTCCATACGCTGGTTTCCCTCTCCTCCATCCCTTCTCCAACATTTCCAAACACCTACTAGGTACTTAAGGCACTGCTGGGAGAGGCAGGCAGAAGGCACGTACATCAGTACTAGGTGCAAAAACAGTCCTAGCTGCTGACACAAACTTTTTGAATGCAGGCCCTCTCCTGTCAGGAAATTATCTGGTAAGGAAAGGGAGTGTAATCTCTCTGGGCTCACACTTTCTGAGGCAAAAGAACACACTTTGGAAACAAAAATAACATCCTAACAGAAAAAGCCAAGTTAAACTATTATCCAAAATGAAAGGATAAAATATGCCAGTCGGAGGCCCCTGAGACTTCAAGGATCTAATCCTACACAAAGGACACAGTAAGAGGAAAGATTTAAGTTTCAAACCTGGTTAAATAGCAGTGTGGTGGTGGGGTCAGATAAGCAGCTCTGGGAGTCAGTCACCGGGATCCAACTGCTCTTCAAAGCACCCTATCCATATCCTAAAAAGGCCGTCCTCTCCAAGAATACAGAAACAAAACTAGCATAGAAAATGACAAACCTCTGCCCAGTGCACCCTGTAAAGGCCATTTCTTTAGAAAGAAAGTTAAAAGGGACCTTGAGGCTAAAAGTAGAAAAGAGGCACAACCTGGTACCAACCCTGGACAAAGAAATCTGGGGAGCTCAGACCCTCAGGAGGCAGAGAACTTGAGATGACTGGAGAAGATAAGGTTGCTTTCCCCCCCAAAAGCGGTGTCAAGGTGATGATGGCGGGATTTCCCATGACCTCGGGGAGGCAGGTAAGCCCCAGCACTGCATTCAAACTGTAGAATAAGCGTTTTCATCCTTTATCCAATCCTTCCCCAAAGTGCAGTCAGGAGAAATCTGAACCTCCCTGCAGCAGAGATCTGAGAAAAAGCAGGGGGAAGGCGACTGTTCCAAACACGTTCCCGAAGGCAAGGGAGATGGATGCCAAGGAGGGGGGAGGCTTTTGGAAGGAGGCCTGAACTGAGGGGTGGAAGTAGCAAGGGGCAGTGGACGAGAAGTTTGGAGGGGGCAGGGGGAGTACGAGGAATGAGGGGGGAGTCGGGGGCAGCAGGAGGAAAAGGGGTGGGGGGAATGAGACAGGGGGAAAAAAAAAAAAGAGCGGAGAGTCGGGAGGGGTGGAGGTGGGAGGGGCGGAGGGCGGAGGAGCCGGGCCGCGGGGGCTGGGGTCGAGGAGGGCAGAAGGGGCAAGCAGACCCGGAGGGAGCGGAGGGCAGCAGGTCGGGAGACGGGCCAGCGCTGGGAGAGAAAGTTGGCAAAGGCGAGGAGCTGGGCGCGAGGACACAAGGGTGGGAAGGCGCAAAGTTAGGCAGGGCGGCTCCGGGGAGCGGGATTTTTGAGCCCAGCGCCCGGGACCAGCGGAGCGCGGGCGGCCGGGGAGGGGCGCTGCAAGGGTCCCCCGCCAGGAGGCGCGGCGGTGCCGGAGGGCTTCCCGGCGGTGGCGGCGGCCCCGGCGCCGGCCGCGGCAGCCCCGCACTTACCCGGGAGCGGTCCGCGAGGACGGGCGGCGGCGGCGGCGGCAGCGGCGGCGGCGGGCACTGCACAGCCCGGGCCTCTGGCCCCGCCCCCGCCCCCGCCGGCCATTGGCTGCGCTGCCGCGGGACCGCGTTCGCCTCAGCCAATCAGCGCCCAGCAACGCGGTTTGGAAACTTTTTTTTTTTTTCCCAGGGCCCGGGCGCGGCTAGGCCACGCGGCGGCTCCCCCGCGCTGCGGGCGGCGGGCGGCGGGCGCCGGGGGCAGGGGCAGGGCCGGCCTGGGACTGTGCGGGCGGGTCCCCGGGCATCCCGGGACGGGCTCGAACGTGAGCGCCACGCTCTTCGAGAAAACACGACTCCCTTCCCTTAGACGCCGCTCGCAATTATTCCCCAACTGCTGGGAGGGACAGAGATCCAGGTCCGCTCAGGCTAAGCAAGGCTCCATGTGGCCTTTAGCCCATAATAAAGATTTCAGCATCGTTATCTTCTTCAAAGGCAGCAGACTTCGCGTCTAAGACTTTGGCTCCGAGCCTGGCTTTGAACTCTAGCTCTGCTCCTACTAGCTGGTTGATCTTGGCAAGTGACTTAAACTCTCGGTGACAGTGTCCTCTTCTATAAAAGGGGGGCTCCTGGGCAGCCCGGGGGGTGGGGGGCTCAGCGGTTTGGCCTCTGCCTTCGGCCCGGGGCGTGATCCGGGAGAACCGGGTTCGACTCCTGCCTGCATCGGGCTCCCTGCATGGAGCCTGCTTCTCCCAATGCCTGTGTATCTGCCTCTCTGTGTCTCTCATGAATAAGTGGATTAAATCTAAATAAAATAAAAAAATAAAATAAAATAATAAATAAAATAAAATAGGGGCTCCTAATAGGATTATGCAGAGACAAGATTTGGAATCTGTGAAACATCTAGGGTAGTGCCTGGCACACAGTTAAAGAAAATTGATATAACTGTTAAGTGACCATGATTTCTTCATTGGTTATGTATGTCAGGCACAAGTTAACCTTTTTTTTTTTTTTAAAGATTTTATTTATCCATGAGAAACACAGGCATATAGGCAGAGGCAGAAGCAGGCTCCTCGCAGGGACCCCAATGATGACATCCTAAGCCGAACGAAGTTAGATGCTCAACCAACAGGCTACCCAGGTGCCCCCACAAGGCTGACTTCTTAAATGTGGGTTTTCTTATTCGTAACAGCAATCCCAACTGTTCATCAACAAATATTTATTTGAGCACTCGGGCTTATGACACAACAAATGTCAAACAAAATGCCAGTCCTCAAAAGGCTTATGCGACTAAGAAAGCAAGACACTACACCAGCAAACAGAAAGTAATTTCAGGTGCAAGGTCATTTGAGAGAAAAGAGCTGGAAGGGGTAACTTTAGATGGTGAGGGAAGGCTGCTCTAAGGAGGTGACAACAGAGCTGAGACCCAGATGAAAATGACAGAAAAGCACTTTAATTGCTCTCATTTTATTAAGATTTTATTTATTCATGACAGACATAGAGCGAGAGAGAGGCAGAGACACAGGCAGAGGGAGAAGCAGGCTCCATGCAGGGAGCCCAATGTGGGACTCAATCCCTCGTCTCCAGGATCAGGCTCTGGACCAAAGGTGGCCTAAACCACCGGGCCACCAGGGCTGCCCTATTGCTCTCATTTTAAAGTTGAGAAAACAAAGGTGCAGGAAATTAAATGCGTTGCCCAAGGAGTCCCAATTAGCAATAACAAATCAGGCTTCAAACCTGGGTCTGTTGGACTCCTACACCAGCCCTCTTCAGCACTACCCTAGAGGCAAAGAGATTTTTAGCTATTTTGAGGCCTCCTGCCACAATCTTTAGAATCCTTCCTGCCTCTCTGCCTTGGTTAAGAATGGCCTTTTTCTAATTTGACTTTGTTTTGACTCCTCAAGTTCCTAAAGAAACTCAGAGACCCAAAAGGGAACCTCACTACCTGTACCAACAGAGTTAAGGAAAGTACCAACATGTCTTTCAGGAAATTTCCATCCCGGTCACAAACACTAATAAAATCATTCACACCCTCTCGACATTTTTCCTCTGATGCTCTCTTTCATCCTCAGAATTTTGACTCTCACCACTCCCCCGTGAGGTCTCTGGGAAGGGAGTAATCATTCCCAGTTTACAAATAAACAGAAACACAAATTGATGAGTTACCAGTTCTGCCTCAATGGCATTGATCAAGTCGCTTAGTTTCCAATTTCCTTCATTTTCCATAAAGACAAGAGGGAGTGCATTGAAATGATGAAAGTCCTCTTGAGGAATAGTTTAGGGGAAAGGGTTTGTTATTGGGTAAAACCTTTGCAATAAAAGGAAAATTCAGTGTACTTTAAAACTTTTTCCTTCTTCTATTCAGTGTTTTCCTTGTAGCTTTTAGATACAAATTAGCAGAGAGCTCAGTTTCTCTTGCTTTCGTCCTTCCATTACAATTTATTATTTCGGAACACTAAACCGAGCATAGGCGGAAGGGAAGTTGCTGGGGGAGAAACCCCATTAGTGGTAGCTAAGTTAATTTAAGAGGTGGAATGAATGTAAAGTGGCCTCTTAAGCAGCACAAAAATAAAACATCCTGGTTTCATAAATGTGAGGATTATAATTTGGACATAGAAAAACCAAAAGTTACTCTCTGGTAAAAGAGTCTGGCCAGCAAAGAAATAAGAATAAGATTAACAGAGACTATATTTAAGAAAATAACCCCTAGGAAAAATACGAAAGCACTCTTTCACAAGTATCAAATTGCTTTCACTTCATAATTGCTTTCAAGGGCTGGTGCAAACCAGAAAACAGCTGGTTTTCTACAGAAAACACTAAAACTGCATTTCCTTAAAAATTGTGATTCAGACTTTTCATTAACTTTTCATGTAGTAGGATTGAGTCCACTTTACTTAGGGAGTTTAACCTGTTGAGATCAGGGACAGCTCTGGACTTGGAAGAATGCCAAGCAAAGTCAAACAAAATGTGTCTGTTCTGTATTATTTTGTGACCACCACCAACTTTTTTAAAAAGGCAATTTAAAATCCAGTCACTTTGTTTCCTTTTTGTATTTTTTTAGTTGCTTGGGTCTGTGTTCAGAGATACTCAACCAGAATAAAAAAGAAAAAACTCCTCTAAAGAGAAGCATATTTGTATATTTGTTTGGTACTTTGGGAGAAAGAAAGGGGAAGGAAAAAAAAAAAAAACGTAGACACTGGGTTGTTTTTTCATCTGTTCTAATTCCCACTTGGAAAATAATACCCACACACAGACACAATGAGGATTTACTTAGCAGTAATAAATACCTAAGCAGGCAGATGATGTGTGTGCTTGTCATCTGCTTTCTGGAAAATGAAAATCAAGCACAAAGGGTGCTTCAGCTACGTGTTTGATCTTGCCCTCCACAATAGGACTATACAAGGATGCCTACAGGGATGTATCAGCTTCCCCTGAAATCACCCCCCGCCCGCCCCCCCCCAACAAAATCCAAATTGTTTAATGAAATTGCCTCATCCTGCAGGGGGTAAAAAAAAAAAAATCCCATTTGGCCATTTCGACTTATTCTTCTGCAAAATGAATCTGTTTCCCAGCAAACTTCAGAAATGAACTTGTAGGTCGGATTGAGCTTGCACGTCTTAAATACATCTCGATTTAGATGCGGGTTTTGTTTTTCTCAATAGCCACAGGAAGTAGGGAGCGGTTGGCAGTTTCGGAAGCGACCGTCTCATGCTTAGGCTTTTTTTTTTTTTTTTTTTTTTTTAATGACTTCAGGTAAAAGACCGTGAAGCACCAACCCTCCCTTCCCCCCCAAAAAAAAACCCCAACCATGCATGTCACATCCACCCACCGAAAACACAAGCCCTTACAGGCTTCGCAGGGCTTCCCCCCACCCCATCCCTGAAAAGTTTGCATGCACTTGCAGCGGGCTCTGGACTACAGGGTTTTTAAAAATGACGCTTTCTAACTGAAAACACGAGGACCCCTTAATGGGACGGGGGCCAGTGTGCAGCACACAGCCTGGGCACACACCTCACTTGTTTGCCCCCTGGGTCACCCTCTTGCAAGAAGCGGCCCCACCGGGACCTCGCGGGAAGCCCCGCGGGCGGTTATTTTTCTCTCCACTCGCCACTAGGTTGCAGTAGAAGAAGGACGCTGCGCAAATTATGCATCCCTTAATTAAAAAAAAAAAAAAAAAAGAGAGAGAGAGCCATCACGTGACCAGAGGGAACCAGGGAGAGCGGAGCTCGCGCGCGCGCACCAGCGAGAGCGCCAAAACCCTCGCGTTTTTCATCAAAATCCTGTTTAAATCGCCTTCCCTCCAAAGACCCAAAGAGCTCAATCGTATCAAAATCCCGATTGGCAGGTTTTTTTCCAACCCCCACCCCCCCGCCCGGCTCCACCTCGCAAGCCCTCTCATTCTCCGCTTATCAGGTTCCTTTCCACTCCACCACGATAAGCCAGGGAGAAGGCCTCCCTAAGCAGGGGGTTTTGGCCCCAAAAAGCCGGGGTCTCCCCCT